ACTATTCTAATAACCAGTCTTTTCTATGTCTACACCTACTACATATTTCCAGTTTTTCGTTTAATATGTTATTACGTTATTTATGGGTAGTAATAGCTAGTTATATATAATAATATAATATATATATATATATATATATATATATATATATATATATATATATATATATATATATATATATATAATGTTTATTCCAACTAAATTTCAATAAGAACAAAATAAATAGAATTACATAATAATTTTTTCCTTTTTCTTCAGCAATTTTATACTTAATATAAATTAAATTTAAACTTTAATATGGGTAATTTTTTTATTTGTAATTTGCAATAATTTAGTTAGAATGAATTCTATTTTAGTCTAACCCCAATATTAAAGCCTTAAATATTATTATAACCATAGTTCGTTGTCAAGTTTTTGGAATTTTCGTATACTTGTATTTTGATTGGTCATTTCAGATTATGTAATAGCGTTTCCATCAGTGAGGGGTGTCTGATTGATTTGAACTTTTTAAAGCCCTTTATTTTACACTCAACATCATCACTTGATAAGTCACCAGAAGTGTTGAAACCAAATGACTATTTTTGTAATTATTTTATATAATACTTATGTTATAAATTTCGCATAAATAATTTATATATATATATATATATATATATATATATATATATATATATATATATATATATATAATATATATATATATATATATATATATATATATATATATATATATATATATATATATATAATTTATGAGGCAACAATTTTCACAAAAGAGCATTTTGAGCAGAAAAGGATATACATAGGAATATCGGCGGGAAGTTGGAAACATCAACTTTATAACCGTCGCCAGTCCTATAAAGATAAACGTAAAAAGAACCAAACGGTACTGTGAAAGCATTATTGAGATTTGTTGGTTGGTGGCTTAACCCCACAAATAAAGTGGAAGATAATCTCGAGAGCCAGATCTCTAATAAATTTCAGAGACAGATGCGACATATGCAGAAAAGAAAAAATCCTCATAATAAAACATAAAGATCCGGATTTATTACTAAACAAACATAATGAACTAATTTCTAAATGCCGGCATAAGAACAACCTAAATCTAACTAAATATATTTAGGAATAACTATATAGGAAGACTAATATTATATGATCTTGTTTTTTTTTGTTTTTGGAAATGTTGCTATGCACACATAAGTGCGAACACATAACTGTATGTATTTAACTATGTAACTGAACTTGAACATTGATACATCTTTTGATATGTATATGTATATGCGTTTATATGGAAAGATAGACATGCATGTGTTATTTTTGTGTATTGAAGGCACATTTCTGGAGTGGGTGGGTATAGCTATGGATATGTATGTATATATATTTGTATGTATATAGGTGATCTATGTGTGTGTATATATGTATATGCATATATTTGTGTTTATGTGCATGTGTGTATATGTATATATGTGTGTATATGTGTATATATGTTGGTATATGTGTGTGTATATGTACATGTTTATGTATGTATGTGTGTGTATGTCTACATGTGTATGTGTGTATGCATGTGTATATACATATATATATATTTATACACGTTTCATTAAATAATATAGACAAGTGTTGTCTATTTATTTTATGTAAAATTTTTTCGTATCTTCTGATAAGTTTGATAAAATTATCATTAACCGAAAAAAGAAATTCACAATATTTATCCATTATTTTTTTATATAATCTAAGCTTTCGGCTTACTCAAGCCATTATCAAAGATGTAATTACAAACATATCAAACAATATACGGACACGACAGTGATGATAGTCTGTCATTGTTTTGTTTACATAGTGGATCACTAAGCAACGATGAACACGCGCATATAAGACGCTAGAAGCGAAAATCGCACTGCATCTCATGACGTCACACATGACTTTACGAGAGTGAATTGGAGAATGAAATAAGGAAAGCCGTTGGTATAAACCAATGGCTTCTGTTACCAATTATAGAAATTATAGACATTTAAGAATATTTGTAGAGATGCCATAGTTGATTTTGTTTAGGTTGGGTTTTAACTGTTTGATGTATAATGCTTCAAGTATTTTTAGTTTTTGTCTATTGTTTTCATGTCGAAGTATAGTTGTGTTTTCGACAAGTATTTTACGGAATTGTGTGTGCGGGCAGGCATGTTGTCTTAAATGCCTAAAAATGTTAGAGTTTTCATTAAAATGTAGTGTCAAGCGTCGTGAAAGCGAGTTTGTGGTGTGACCAACATAAATTTTATTTAATTCGTTGGAGATACACTCTCCGAAAGGGCACTTGAATTTATAAACTATGCTGGTTTTTTGCAAATCGCTAACCGGGGGAGAAGAATCATTGCGAAGTATTAAGTTGGATATACTAGATTTAGTGTAGTATATGATTAATTTAATTTTTTTGCTAGGATCTGTAGTTGATATATTAGAATTTACTAAATTTTTTAGTATGTACGGACATGTGTGTATATGTATATTTATGGATACATAGAATATTATAAAAGAAGGACTTATATTCTTGTTATTAGGGTTTTATCTCATTTTCTCATTTAATATTCTCCAATTGGAAGTGTGAGTTTAAAATTCTTTATAATATGGAGGAAAATTTTTTAAATTGATAATTTAATTCAAATTGAAATATATTACCCTTTAATAATCATTATTGATTATAAAATATCTAAATTGGAAATTTTTTTGATATTTAGGTAGGTGTTAATATATGAAGTTACCTGTGTATTTCGGCACATGGGTACCTATATGAGTGATTGAACATGTAAAGGAACGTATGTATATGTGATATTTTCGTGGGTATGTATACAGTATATGACAGAGCAAGATCTTTAATATTACCTTCAAATATTACCCCATATTAACTTAACTAAAATTTAAGTAAAAGAGATTACCTATCTAGAAATAGTCACGAGTTAAATTCATGAACAAAATTCAAACGGATAGAGATGTCAACTCAATATTCAATAATAAATTTTTTTAAAGAGATTAAAAAAAAGATTACTAGAAGTGAACTTATATTTTAAAATAAAATTTTATTCTTTTAATGTAATTTCTATGAATATTTTTCTAATCGACTGTTTCATAGAAAATCTCCAAAATTAAAAAAAAAAAATTAAATCACCAACAAACATCAAATTAAATTATTTGTAGACAGTTTAGTGACATTCAAATTCATATCAAACATTATAATCTTTATGAACCCCCAAAATAACACTTTCAAAGCAAAGCAAAATAACAGCGTCTGTTTCTAGCCTTTTTTTTTTACAAAGAAAATTAGTGACAACTTCTTCTCGCTTAACTTCCTTCCCTCTTTTTCTCTCTATGGGTTTTTACTTCTATATCCCTTCGATATCAATACATAACATCCGTTAAGTTAACCGTTTAAATGCTAACTCACTCATGTCTTCTCTCCCCCCCTCACTTCCTCACTTCGTTAATTTACATATGTTTAATACGGCCCATCAAAATGTGTAAATTTTCTTTTCATTTTTTGTTTGGAAGTAAAGTCTGATGATCCGCAGTCCTTTAAAAGGGATGTGGTGAAATAATTTATTACATGGAACCTTAAAGTGGTCTGTTTTTATTTAAATTATTTGCTCTTGATTTACATTGAGCTCTCTAGATTTTATCCTCCTTAGTTTTACCCATACGGATTACCGAGTTTTTTTATAAACTAATATATCAACATATTTTGGAAGTAGCTTTTGGGGATTAAAAAAATGTTATCATTTTTAAATGTACGTTCCAAAATGCCTTAACATTTTTTGAATATATAGATATCTCAACGCCTTATCTAAATATATGTTTATTTATATATCCGGAGTAACAGGAAAATTGTCCAATTGTTAGGATTTTATAACACTATTGGTCTATACATTGAACAATAAGAATTTATTCGTTTCTACGTTGAAATGATGAAATCTCTTGCTTTTGTGACCTCCTCATCCAGTTTTCCTCTCAAACTTTCTCTCTTTTTAAAACTTATTAACCGTTCTCATGATGTTTAATGAATGAGCTTTTAGTACCATTACTGAAGGCCTGAATGATCTTTTTTCCTATAACCATTGCTCAGTTGGAAAGATATAATGGGGCTGGCACAACATGATTAAACTTACTCTATTTCTAGCTGAATAGCTCAAAGGGGTTTTCAATGATTCTTACTGGAAATAGTGTCAAGAGAGCTGAATATCTGAAAACCTGGGAAAAAGGAAACTCAATTTGTTTAGTGATTTCTTAGATAGTAAACATTTTGTAGGATTGATAATTATCCCATGCTGTTACACGATTTGGACAATTTTGCTGCTACACCCAATATGTGTTACAGTTTTTTGTGTATATTATGTAACTAGTGAGTTAGTCAAAATGACTTAACTCCCTTTATAATCTACCAATAGAAGGTTAACCAATCAGAAGCCGTAGAACATTGTATCCGCCGTGTATAAAGGCGGCCATTTTTTTTTTTACCTACCCGAATGACCAGTGTCAACTTGTCAGGCGAATATGACAGAAGTAAGTACTACGCTCTGCTAATTTGCTGCTTAATATCCACTGCTAACCTGAACTACACTTTCCTACTGTCTCCGAAATATTCACTGCTAATCTTTGGATTCTATACTCGAAGACGACCGTCAAAATGTCTAACAATGTGTGTGTTTGCTTGTATGTGTGTGTGTGTATGGATGTGTGTGTGTGAGTGCGCGTGTATGTGCATGCGCATGTGTGTGTGTGTGTGTGTGTTTTAGCGTACATTTGTGCGCGTGGGTATATTTTAAGAACTCATGGAGCAAATGCTTTAGAATCTGCAATATAACTTCGAAATTGAGAAATCAAATAATTTGCTGTTGTTTAAAATTCATATTTTATTCATTTTATTTTTGTTTATCAAATGCCACGTGATTTAAATGGAAAACGCCCGAAAACAGTTGCATTTTCTTATATGGGTAAATTCCAAATGAAAAGCAGTTTACGGCCACATCTCATTGAAACACTGCTTCTCATACGATCACAGAAGTTAAGGTACGTCAAGCGTTGTCAGTATCTAGATGAGTGACAACTTGCGAATACCAGGTGCTGTAAGCTTAGCTGGGCGGTTGGTGTAGTAGATAATGGCTCGAAATTGTTAATCGACCAATTTCAGTTGAGTTATATTCACTTACACGCAGATAATATTTGAAAAGATGACTCCGTCTCTTCTCTTACTAACTATGGGTTAAATAGTAATGCTTGTATTACTAAATCATTATTATTTCCAAAAATTCTTACAATCTAAAAAAATATTTTCTGGCAAATGATTGATAAACTGTAGAAAATCAATCAATCAAATGAAAAACGTCTCGACACTAGATATAGATTTTTAGCAGTTGCAGCACATTTATAAAAATAACATATTTATGATCATCTACTGGGGCAGATGTATAACTGTATGACCACGCGGAAATTTTTTGTATATATCTAGAGCGCGAGAGAAGCAGGTGAAACAGCGGGTAATCTACATAATATGTGACTGATTGGTTTGTTTTGTTTTACAGCATATCAACCTCGATTGTTCATTTAATGCCGACAGCTCTTTTATTTTTTTGGTAATATTTTTGTTTTGTCAAATATCTATTTTTGTGAATATTTTTTCTTCAAAAATGTGTAGCTGGTAATATTATTTTTCAAAAAATATATAGCTGATAATATTATTTTTCGTATAGTTCAAAACACGTTATAAAACTGTGTTTATGTTTTGAATCGTTTTTTTATGTCTACATTTAGAAAATATCTCACTCCCAATATTTAGGAACTCATCTTGATTCTTATCTTTAATCATAATTTTTTTCCGCCATGCACAGATCACACCGATCGCCGAAGTTATTAGGGGTTCTATCTGTTGATAAGTATCTCCATTCAAAATTGGGGTTAGTCCCTTATCCACCAGATCCCAATAGTGTTTGGATAAGGAAATCAAACTTTCTTTCCAATAAGTACCGCGCATATAATATATAAATAATATATATAATATATTGTGTGTATATATATATATATATATATATATATATATATATATGTGTGTGTGTGTGTGTGTGTGTGTGTGTGTGTGTGTGTGTGTGTGTATATATATATATATATAGAGAGAGAGAGAGGGGAATAGAGAGAGAGAGTGTGTGTGTGTGTTGCACCAAAATCTGACACTTCAGAAAAAGAAATAGGTAATAAAAACAAAAGTTGTATATGCAGACACCCGAAAGTTTATTTAGCAACATTTATAGTTACGTACTACATTACTTTTCAATGTAACCGCCTCCGGTTGCGATGACCATGTCAAAGCGGGCCCTAAATGAGTCACACCCTTTGGCGACCATATCCTTGTCCACAGCGGTGAACGCCTCCACGATGGCAGTTTTCAGAGAGTCGACCGTGTTATTGGTGTGCTTCTTGGTCTTGGCTTCGATCACGCCCCAGAAAAAATAATCAAGGGATTTGCAGTCGGATGAGGAGGGAAGCCACAAGTTCGGCGATATATATATATATATATATATATATATATATATATATATATATATATATATATATATATATGTGTGTGTGTGTGTGTGTGTGTGTGTGTGTGTGTGTTTGTCAAGGGCAAAAAGAAACTCAGTCAACTGAAACAATTCAAGATTGCTAAATTCTGCCAAGTTAGGACCCGTACTCTTAGAATAAATTACAGGAAAAAGAAATTTAATATACAGAGAAAAGTCACATATTACATAGATAAATACATCGGTGCTTGAACATATGAAGATAAGTTGAAGGCGAGAATAATAAAATAATAATATATAATAGCTTAGGTAGGGTGAATACTTATATATACAATTATTCGTGTTTTGACTTTGTGTTGGTAGTGGGGGTGTCACCCTTTGACACAAAGTGTGGGCACAAGGGATTATTATTAACGTGTTTTAATCTGAAAACAGACCCACCTTTTAAAATTCAATGCACAAGCATAGAGTATTATAATATTCTAAAGACATAGCACAGCGAGCAACGTTTTGCTCTGATCAAAAAAGAGGGACACATCTTTAATATATATATATATATATATATATATATATATATATGCACATTTCATTCTGACAATAGCTCTATTAGATATCATTTAAATATTCATGGAGATCTACCGGATACTATTCCTAACATACTTGTTGACAATACTAATATAATAGCATCATCTAAATGCAAAAAAAGGCTAAAAATAATAGGAGCCTTTTTAATAAAAACAAAAGAAAACATTTAATAATATTAGATTTAAACATGGACACCATATTTTGACCGTGTTTTGAAAAATGAAAACATTTTATAAAACATACATACAACAAACTATTTCTTATTTAACATTTAAAATATTTAATCCTTTGAAATTGCTAAATGTATAGCCGAAAGCGCTCAGATAAAAAGAACATTCGGACAGTTCTTATATAATTTATTATCTGAAAAGAAAAAAAAATATCAGATCGCTTGAGAAATTGTATAAAAAAATTAAATAAAAGCACCTTTTCTGTCGTATTCAATTTTTTTTCGATATTAAATATTCTCGATATGAGGAATTCTCTTCTTTGTGTTAGTGATCCAAACATCTTTCTTGAACTGGCAGTGAAAATTTCTGCGTGTAGGGTTATAAATCAATTAAAATTGGTTCGAGAAATGAAGGAATAGTTATCGGTATGCTTATCTTTAACGACCCCTGTGTGTTCTTAGATCTATTTCCATTTTCGTGTGCTTTTGTCAGCATCGTGTATATGTGTGTATATCCCCTCTCCATACATACACACTGTCTCACTACGAGGAATCAGTGAACACATCTGTACACCCACACACACACACACACACACACACACACACACATACACAAACACACAAACGCACACACACATATTTTTTATGACAAGAAGTTAGAGATCGAAAGATATTCCGGAGAGCATTTATGTTCTTAACGGTTCGTCATTTGAAATGAACGTTCTATACATTTATAATGGTGCTGGAATAGATTTTAGGGTGCCGTGATTATATAAATATTACGATTTGAAACGATTTTAACACGCTAAGATCTGAATCTTACAAAATATTTTGTCCTTATAAGAAAAACTCCCTCTTGATTTTACCAGTATTGTTTTGAGTGTGAAGATGTAGACTTAAAAAACCTAACTGCAAATCATCAGGCGGTATAACGCAAACTAGAGTTTTATCTATCTATCTATCTATCTTATCTATCTATCTATCTATCTATCAACCCATAAAAGGCAATAAAGTCACTAAAACAGAATGAATTCGAGGGTGTGGAATAATAAGAACAGAAACATTAATAATGAGAGGGAGGGGAAAAAGAGTAATCAGGAAGAAAGTAAAAAACGATTGACATTGCATTTTAATCTTTGCAGATCAAAGTTAGCTGGAAAGTATGAATCCAGGTGGGAGTTCCACAAGTGAGAAATGCGAGAAAGAGATTTTTAGCATAGGATTTACGGTTACCAGCTCAACGGTGAATTGATGAAATCTCGGCGCCTGTCTAGTGTTGCGCTTAAATTATAAATGTCATAGCAAAGAGTTCACTCGAACAATTATCAGGAAAGTCTATATAGAAAGGACACAGGAAGGAAAACCTTACGGTGGTGAGAAACTGACTGAAATCGAACTGCGACATCAGGATTGACAATATTCCTGATTATTCTTCGGATTTTATCAAGTAGCTCAATGTAAAAACTAAGGGCCCCGGATCATATGGAACAACAATATTCTAAGCATGTACGAATGGTAGCATCTCTCTCTCTCTCTCTCTCTCTCTCTCTCTCTCTCTCTCTCTCTCTCTCTCAAGAATCATTAATTATCTGTCTTCACACTACACATTTCTTACTGATACATCACTCTGTCTTTGAATATTCTCCTGTTACAAGTCTTCAACCAATCAATCTATTCAGATCTATCTCTGTACTTGCAAGATTCCATACATCGATTTATGCATGTGATTTTTTCCTCTTTCTGTTAGTATAATTTACCCTGACAAACAGGCCCTAACTCGGCAAAATGAATCAATTTACAATTTCTGATTGCTTTTGCACACGACACACGGACCTTCAATGCGGAATCTGTTACGGGATGAAATAGAAAAGAAAGTTTTGAACGGGATTCTGCTAATAATTTAAACGAACATATCAACATTTCGATTCAGGAAGACGGGAAAAGATGGCGGGATATCACCAAGGATAATATGTCTGACCCAATATGCTTTCCCAAATGGAGGCATATATTTAATCAATCAACCAACCTCGAGCTATGTCCAGATCGATGAATCCGGTTTTGTTCGATATTTGGATCGACAATTCTACGTTTTCGGAAGCAAGTCATTACGAAATGTTATTTGTGCTTGAATTTTTCTTTCTGTGGGGTCTGTAATGTGAAAATGTTTATTTAGTTTAGTCTGAAGTTAGGTCAAAATAATATGGTCAAAATAATATGGTTCACTTAGAGTTGACGGAAATTTCCAGATCAGCAATTATCTGTAAATGTGACCTGTTAAATAAAACTGCAATTAATTTAGACGCCCATTTTTTATATATATATATATATATATATATATATATATATATATATATATATATATATATATATATATATATATATTGAACGCAATCCTCAGGGGGTATTGTTCTAACATGAAACAGACTCGGTGTTGACCTCAGTGTCTACTTTTATATTTACATACTCTCTAATAATCCATATATCTAGCAAACTTTATATATATATATATATATATATATATATGTGTGTGTGTGTGTGTGTGTGTATAAGTAGCTTTAATCACAAAACTTACAGACATAGTACCAGCATGTCTACATACATATGGAATATAAAGCAAGAAGATGATAGTGACCCCTTTTTGAAATGGGAAATATTAAATACAAATGCCATAAATATAAAGCAGATGACAAGTTTTGTTCGTTATGTACGGAAGATAAAACAGCAATCGCCACCCACAAGGAACCTAAGAATTTATTAAATCAAAGACCCGAGATTCTTAATACGTGCAGGCTTAGAAAACGTTGTTATTAGAATAGAGGC